TCGTTTAGAGATTGGATTTCCGTCCGAAGAATCCTTTGAATTAAAGCAGCTATAATTAAAAAAAAAATGGGTAAATTTGATGCTTTTCTGTAATTCTAATTCCAAAGAGTTCTCTAAAAGTTTCTTTTAAAATTCCGGAAGATTCCTTGCTTACGTCAGAAGAAAAAGCATTTTACTTAATGCGATGCTTCTCAAAGTGTGATGTGAGTACCGATGCATGCATCTGACAACAATTCAAACATAAGGATCTTATTATTCAAGGGATTGATAGTAAGTTAATGTCTCATTAAGTCCTGTTAGCGAAGTGATTTCGCTATTAATCACATTAACATAGCTATTTAATTCTTTGCATAATTTGTTTCTTCATGATATATATATATATATATATATATATATATATATATATATATATATATATATATATATATATATCCGTAATCCGTATGGATAATTCCCAGAAGGATGTAATCCAGAGAGCTCAATGTAAAAACAGAGCGAATATTAGTTAAATTAAAAAAAACAGACTACCTTAATCTATGAACCCTTAAGGTTGTCTACTTTTTAATTTAACTCATATATATATATGCAGATGACACCACAGCATACGATACCACAACATATGATTGCACATCCAGATATCTGCCTGACAGCTGACCTTTCTTCTGTTTTCTCATAACTCAAAGGGGGGTGGAGAACTGGCTGGTAACATTCAATACCCCCAAAGCTAATAACATTAAATCCCCTCTGAGCAGACCCAAAGCCTGTTGATTGGTCAGACCCTCATAGAAAGTCTTTGCCTTGAATAGCATAATGAAGTCTTAAATCTTGAATAAAACACTTGCATTTTTCAAATGACTGGAATTGTTTTTGCAACAGGCTGACGTGTGTTAAAATCCTCACAGTGTTTAGTATTGTTGATTAAATTGTATTTAAAATAGTAGGTGTATTTTGTAAGTTAAATAACAAAACTTTTAATTTTTCCAAAAAAATTGATGAAAATTTATTGTACGAAGCTACGCACTCTAGTAAAACCAATCGTGAGAGCATGCAAAAAATTCAGTAGTTGATAACTACACATAGTTTTTGCCTTACCAATTGCGCACCTGATTATGATCTCAGAAAGAGATGGAAAATACTTGTGTAATAAAAGTAATTCTCACTGTTAAAGTGCATTTCTTGTCTCATTTAATTGTAATATACGGAAAAATATTCGTGAAGATGAAAGGATTATGATCAAAATAAGCAGACATAATGTTTCTAAGTTATTCAATCAGACATGCCTGAAAAAGATTTTGTTGCCTAAATACACACACACATATATATATATGTGTTTGTGTGTGTGTGTGTGTGTGTGTGTGTGTGTGTGTGACCCGCAGACAGATTGTTTCGCTGTATCGCAGCTCATCAGTGTGGTAAGACATCCGAATGCCTCAAGCCACGATCGAAACCCGATTTGACATCAGTCAGAGATTCTTCCCCAGAGCTATCAGCTCCCGGCAGAGAGGAAAGCATTCATTGAATACGACAGACAAGGTGCTTTTATTTAGTTTTTTATAAAATTTCTCATGCGATCTAATAATTTTTTTTCTTTTCGGATGATAAATTATATAAAAACTGTCCGAATGTTCTTTTTCTTGTTTGCAATTTTCACTGAAATGTGCATATATATATATATATATATATATATATATATATATATATATATATCTGTGTGTATGTGTGTGTGTGTACTTAATACTTCTCGTTTTCACTCTCGCGTGGTCATGTGTGACGTCACGAGCAGCGGCGCGATTTTCGCTTCCGCGTCTCGTATACACGAGTTTGTCATTGCGTGGAAATTTTTCCTGCAACAAAAACAGACTATCATTATTTGTTTTGTCCGTGTATTGTTTAATAAATATTGAAATGTAAATGTCATCTTTGAAAACGGCGAAATCTTAGCTAGGATTAAAAAAAAACATGCATCAATATGGTGTTTTTCTTTCATCTTTCAATGATAATGTTATTAAGTTCATCAGACAATATAAAAGGAATTTACTTAAGATAAATAGACAAAACTTTTCTATATTATTTAATGAAACATGCATCAATATATATATATATATGTGTGTGTGTGTGTGTGTGTGTGTGTGTGTGTGTGTGTGTGTGTGTGTGTGTGTGTGTGTGTATCTTTCACCATAGACAAACATGAAGGCTGTTTGCGCGTTTGTGCATCTTGGGAGCATGTTGAGCATGTTCTGTGATCTTGGTGTCGAAATTTCAAACCGCATACTAAAACCTAGCGATACATTTGGAAAAGTGAATAAACGTGTGTGTGGTCTCAACGCGGGATTTCAGTGAGTGCAAAGCTAAAGGTCTATCGTGCATGTGTGCTTACAGCACTTCTTTATGCTTTCGAGACGTGGGTGGTTTACCGTAGACAAATGAAATGGCTTGAGAGATTCCACCAGTACTGCTTACGTCGTATCCTTGGCATTACCTGGCAAATGTTTCTTAGTGATGTAGACGTACCAGAGAGGAGCGGCTGTGATGGTATTAAGACCTTGATATTAAAATATCAACTTCGGTGGGCGGGCCACCTCGTCCAAATGGATGACAGCCGTATTCCAAAACAATTGTTCTATGGTGAGCTGCGAACAGGGAAGAGAAATACCGTCAAACCTAAGAAGTGGTTTAAAGGACTGCATCAAAGATGTGCTGAAGAAATGCAACATTCATTACTTGTGAGCACTAGGAAGAATGTTCATCTCATCCCAATAAATGGAATGAGGCTGCTCGGAGTGGAAGGTGTCACTTTGAGGAGGACAAGATTAGGTATGCTATGCTGAAAAAAAGATGTGCGTAAAGGTGTCCCCGTTGAACTTTCTGAAGACACCCGCAGGCAGCTCGAACTGACGTGTACAGATTGCGGTAGAGTGTGTTTGTCGATGGCTGGTCTAAAGAGTCACTTGAGAGCGCACCGACGGAGAGTGGCAATGTGATATTTGTGGTAAGATAGGCGGGCCCAGAAGCGGTTTCGTGCGACATTTTTAATTTCATTATAATGTACTACCCGCTTCTGCACCACTTAAGTCCCCTGTTTGTGCCAGAGTATGCAGGTCTCTTGCTGGACTAAGGAGCCACATTCGTTTAGCACTTCAGTATATATTCTCCAGAAGGATATGTAGTAATGGCCGTACACGGACACGAGTTGGCAACTACCCTATATATATATATATATATATATATATATATATATATATATATATATATATATATATGTGTGTGTGTGTGTGTGTGTCTGTCTGTGTGTGTGTGAGAGAGAGGAAGAGGTTATAATAGTTCCAACGAGAGAAAAGTGTGTATATTAAAAAGAAGAGAGAAACCGCAAACGTTTTTGTTTGTAATGTGGATTTTTTTAAAATATATTATGCTTTATTTTCCATAATTTTGCTACACGGGTTTCCAGTTTGGCGACCTTCTTCCGGCATAGAGTGGATATTTCCATATTTATTAAAAGGAATTAATTTTTCTGATGTTTTTCGATGTTAAATATTCTCGATATTAGACATTATCTTTTTTGTGTGTTAGTGACCCAAAATGTCTTCCTTGAACTGGCCAGTAAATAAAGCATAATATATATTTTTTTAAAAATCCACATTACAACCAAAAATGTTTGCGGTTTCTCTCTTCTTTTTACTATATATATATATATATATATATATATATATATATATATATATATATATATATTTAAAAAATAAATAGACAAAATTAAGTCGAATTAAGTCGACTCCTCATGAAAAATTATTACCTCTAGAACAACATTTCCGCCTAGAAAAACACGACTTCAAAACCCATGCCAAATTCACAATAATTGAGAGAATAGAAAAGTTCAGAGCAGATAACATTAGAAAGATTTTAGAGTCCCATGAAAATAAGTGGATACAACGTTTAAAAACGCACTACCCAGCCGGGCTAAACCATAAATTTAACAATATAGATAGTATTAATATATAACCCTATAAATCAAAACCTACCCACATTTCTCATCCACACAAGACAGACATGCTTACGGAGGTGTTGAGGCCTCACACTTATACACACACCCACACGAACATACACACTTACACACATCATACTCACTCACTCCCTAATGAGCCAAATGATAACACACAGTCACAGCAATATACACTCTTACACATATCATACTCACTCACTCCCTAAGAACCAAATAACACACACACACACACACTTAACAGAGACACATCCCCTCTTCAGGAACCAATAAAACTGTCAAACTGACCACGGGAATCCAGAGCAGCATAGATCCATCCAGCTCTTATCTCAAATAACAAGTTAAAAGAGACTGTTTGACCAACACAAGGAATGTTAAAAGATTCATGTCAAAAAAATTTAAAAAAACAAAAGAAAACTACAGGCAAAAGTTCATTTTCTCCATCAAGACATTCATTTCAGTAGTTCACTGCTACCAGCAAGCAGAAATATTTCTTTTCCTGATGATGGCCATTTTGGCCGAAACTAGTCAAGGAATCTAAATTAATAATAATAAAAACGAAGAATATTAATCTACAACCCAGTGTGTCTGAAGATTTTATTTTTTTAATATTTTTTATTGTTCGATATATATATATATATATATATATATATATTCTTGGCGCTAAAGAAAGAACGTCGTGTGAATGACTTACCGATGGCAGAGCTTGGTGGTTAGAAGATCGTTTTCAGATGAGGAAGAGTATTTTTAAAATAATGTTTCGCCTCATGAGACGTTCTTTTCTCACTGGTTACTGCTGAAAATTTGGTCAGCCGATCAAAAATATTAGATTGCATTCGACAGGGCTTCTTACTCGGGTCATCAACTATTCAACACCCGCTCGGAGCAAGAAAATATCCAGGAAAGACGTTTTCATGTTTATGTTGGTTATCTATTCATTTATTTTTAATTTCTAATTTCGAAATGTAAAATTGAAAATACTGACAAATATGATAGGCTATACTTTATTTGAAGAAGATCGTGAAAACTGTGAAGAAAGAAATAGATAAGAGTAAGAATTACATAGGAAAGAAAAAAGAAATAAAGAAGGTAAGGTGGAAAAGAAAGAAAGAATGGAAATTATAACACAAAGAAAGAAAGAAAGAAAGAAAGAAAGAAAGAAAGGTGACTGAACGCGATAAGAACAGAGGATTTGTGTTAATTAAATCGAAAAAAGAGAAAGAAAAATTTAAAATACAATTAATATATTAAGAAAGAAAGAGAATGAAAAGAAAAAAAGAAAATTAAAAGAAAGATAGAAAGGAAGAAGGAGGGTCGGGTGGAAAAGAAAAAGAAAGAGATAAAATTAAAAGACAAAGAAAGAAAGAAGATCAGGTGGAAAAAAGAAAGATACAAAAAGGAAATTAAAAGAAAGAAAGAAAGAAAGAAAGAAAGAAAGAAAGAAAGTAGGTGGATCAGGTGAAAAAGAAAAAGAAAGAAAGAAAAAAGAAAATTCAAAGAAAAAGAAAGAAAGAAAGAAAAAGAGAGAAAGAGACTGAGTATTTGTGATAAATAAATAGTAAATGAGAATTTCAAATAAATACAATTAATGTATTAAATAAGAAAGAAAGAAAGAAAGAAAGAAAGAAAGAGCATCACGTAGTAAAGTAAGAAAGAATGTAAATTATAAAACAAATACAGAACGATAGAAAGAAAGAAAGAAAGAAAGAAAGAGACTGAAAGCGATAGGAACAAAAGATTTGTGATAATTAAATAGAAAAAAAGAAACAAAGAAATTAACACAGGTACAATTAATATGTTAATTAATAAAAAGAAATGAAAAAAAGGAAAGAAAATTAAAAGAAAAAAAGGAGGAAGATCAGGTGTAAAGGAAAGAAAAAAGAAAAGATAAAAGAAAGAAAGAAAGAAAGAAAAGAAAGAAAAAAAGAAAGAAGGAAAGAAAGAGAACAAGTACAAAGAATTAAAAGACACAAGGGAGAAAGAAATAAAGAAGTGGGATAAGGTCATAAATTCGAAAAGAAAGAATTATATCGACGAGAAAAAAAGAAGAAAAAGAAACAAATGTCAAGTTATTGATTTTGATCCCCGGTCAAATGTCAACTTTTCACCGATAGCCGAAAGGCTATGACGTCATTTAACGCCAGTTTCGACAAAAGAAAACCGCACTGACATTAGGCTCTTACCTGGAACAGTCTGCTAAAACTCTGAACCTTACCAACCAACTCAAATTTTCCGTCAACTTCTCCCTCGCTCTCTGTCTGTCTCTCTCTGTCTGTCTGTCTGTCTCTCTCTCTCTGTCTTACTCTCTCTCTCTCACACACACACACACACACACACACACAGAGAGAGAGAGAGAGAGAGAGAAACGACTTATGGCAACATCATGTTGAAACACTGGTTACCGTACGACCACCGAAGTAAAGCAACGTCGAGCCTGGCCAGTACCTAGATATATATATATATAGTCAAAAGAAGATATTGTGAATAGTAGGTGCTGTAAACTTGGATATGTGGATGGTGTAGTGGATAATGGATCGGAATTTTTAATCGGAGAGCCGAGTTCCGATTTCAGCTTGGTTTGTTATATTAATTTACACGCAAATACCTTTGTGAATGGTATGAATCCACCTCTTCTCCTCCCAGCTATGGGTTAAGTAGTAAGACTTATATCACTAAACTATTGTAGGGAGACCACAGTTGTTTTCCCTTGGGTTGAGCTCATGAGAGTTTTGGCCCCTTTAGAGAGGAGAACTCTCCTGTTTTCTTTTTTGTCTTTGCTTCCGTTTTTTGGAAGAACGGCCTCTTTACCTTTCTGACCACCAGGGCGTTCACACACGTAGAAATTGGTCAACATGTGTACGGCATAGCGAAAGCAAAATGTACTTTCTATTCACTTATCTGCGGATGATCAAAGGTCATAAAGTTGGTATGTTATTTCTTTGTTCTAATTCTGTAAACCTCCTGGTTCGTTTAGGACAATATGGACAATCATTTGTTTTGGGACATATGTAAATCTCTTTAATATAAATATGTAAGTTGTTTGCCTTATTAAACGTTTTCTTTGTTACGGTCGCGTATTTCGTCTTTCTATATTTGCATTCAGTGTTAGTTTATCAATGGCTACACTAATGCTAATATTAGTATCGGTGTGCTGCTGGAAGGCTAATACACGTTATTCTTCCGAACACAAAATAGTCAGTAAACTCTGTTTGCAGATACCACCATACTAATAATATTATTATCTAAAAAAATATTTTTAATAAATAAAAATTTCGTACAAAATATTTACATTTCGGCATTGAATAACCTATAGAGCTTGATATGCCACTAACCAAAAACAACCAAACTAAAGACACACCCAAACTCATACATACATCTGTACACACACGCACACATGCATGCGCTCACAAACGTAACGTACGAGAATAAATATTGCAATTATGCCGCCATTTTTATGACAGAATTTCACTATTTACTTCCTCAAGGGCGAGGGATCTAAAAGATCACGACCCTAGTAAGAAACCCTTTTAAATATGAATTTAAAAAAAAAGAGAAGTAAATTTAAACATTTTGACTGAAGGTATAATAAATAGGAATAGTATTCCACTCGTTTCAGGTTTCGAGGGAAAGCATTTCTTGGACTTTATAATTTATTTCACTCATTGTCAACCTCGACACAGTCGAGCAGTCACACGCATACACATACAAATGTATTCAGAGGACGTGACAAAAATGTTATCAGCTCATCCCACTTACCGAAATCTGTATTTCAACTTGTAATATGTGGACAGGAAAAGTTTTAAAAATTGTGAAAAAGAATCCAAATGTTATCCTCATCTTCGTGGCCATATTCACGACGTTTCAGCCGTTGTACTTTCCGGCTTTCTTCAGGAATTGTCTATATTTCTGAGATGAGCTATTTTAACTATTTACACTATTTGCATTATTTATATTGTTGTCCTCATCTTTGTTGCCATATTCATGACGTTTCAGCCATTATACCTTCTTCAGGTGATATTTCTTAGAATTTCGGATCCAACCCTTTACTTAGTCCACGTGGGTAGATTGTTCTAATTCAATGTACCATGCCTTTTCTGGATATCTAATTTTTTAGTTAATTCGCCTTGATAACTCAATAAGTCTTTGTTTTCTCCGCTGTGGCCAGGGATTGAACTCGCAAGTTTTTGGTTCAAGCCAATTTTTGAAACAATCAACCAACATTTTTACCCACTCGGCTATGTGTCAATGGAGAGTTATCAAGCCGATTAAGTAAAAACTGACGTATCCAAAGGCATGTTATGTGGAATTAGAACAATCTACCCCCATGGATTAAATAAAGGGTTTGGTCCGAAATGCCAACAAATATCACCTGAAGAAGGCCGGGACGTACAACAGCGAAACGTCGTGAAAGATGAGGAAAACAGTCGGAACAATGTAAATAGTGTAAATAGTTAAAATACCTCATCCCAGAAATATAGAGAGATCCTGAAGAAGGCCTGAACGTACAAAGGCCGAAAAGTTGAAAATATGGCAACAAAGATGAGGATAACAGTCCGAACACTGTAAATAGTTACAATACCTCATCTCAGAAATATAGACAGATCCTGAAGAAAGCCGGGGCGTACAACGGCCGAAACGTCGTGAATATAATAACAAAGATAAGGACAACATTCTGAACAATACAAATAGTGTAAATAGTTCCAATACCTCATCCCAGAAATATAGACAGATCCTGTGGAAGGCCGGAGCGTACAACGGCCGAAACGTTGTGAATGTAGTAACAGAGATGAGAACAAATATCTGAACAATGCAAATAGTGTAAATAGTTAAAATATTTCATCTTAGAAAAATAGACAGACCCTGAAGATGGCCGGGGCGTACAACGGCCGAAACGTCGTGAATATGGTAACAAAGATGAGGACAACAGTCTGAACAATGTAAAGGGTGTAAATAGTTCCAATATCTCATCTCAGAAACAGAGACAGATGTTTGAACGAAATGTGTTGAAATGCCAGATGAATTTATAAAATTGCTTGTACATTTCATGGCTTCAGGTAGGGGAAAGAAGTATGACATTAGAAAATGTTTTAGTTTCGACGCGTTTCGGTATTTAGTGCTTTAGGCCTTCATCAGATGAACTTTATGTTCAATTTAGTTCGACTACATATGCGCACGAACAAAAGGTGGGCGTTGTGAAGTTTAATTTTTTTTTAAGCAAATGTTTTACATATAATAATCTAGACGATTTTATTTAGCTTCTTTTGTTTATGTTTCCGTCACTAGTTTTTAAATTTTATACTCTCAGTGTCTCCACCTTCATTCGTGCTCATGTGTAATTGCACCAACATAAACATATAATTAGTCTGATGAAGTCCTAAAGAACAAAACGCGTCTCACGAAAACTTTTTCCACTTTGTCATTCATCTTCCTCCCAACAAAAAAAATATTTAAACAAGAAATAAATAAAAAAAACGGAATATATATACACCCCAGGTTAAAATCTTAAGACGAGATACAAAAGAGTTAAAAAAAAATAAATAAGATAAAATACTGTTACTTTAATCAATATATATTTGAGAAACATTTACATTTAATTAGAAAATGTAGTTTATCAACAAACAAGTGAAAATTATATATAATTATATATATATATATATATAATTTTATATATATTTTTAAATTTTATATATATTTTAATTGATTAATTTAAACAAACATTGAAAAAAGGATTTTTTTGGTTGGTCGTAAAGATAAGACCATGTAAATAAAAATTAATTAAAGATTTTGACCAGGGCTGTATATATTCTCCATACTTAAGAAAATCCCAGAATATTCGAGAAAAATTAGCCTTCAAATGTCCTCTCAATCATACTGGCAATATCATTGTCAAATTATCTTTGTCCCTCGGAGCCGAAAAAGAGAAAAAAAGGAGGAAAAGAAATAATGACAGACAATAAGGAGATAAGAAAATTATGAAAAGAAGAAATAACCATAGCATTCTACACATGTGTACATACACACGCGTACAGGCGTACACAAATACACATACATACGCATACAGGCATACACAAACACACATACACATGTGTACAGGCGTACACAGGCACACATGCGTATAGGCGTACACACATCCGAAGAAGAAATCAACCTGACAGCAATAAAAACGCATAATTTTTTTGTTAACTTAATATAAAATAACGAAAGTGAGAAAATCAGCAGAAATTTGCTAATAGCTCCTGACGAGTGGACCGAACCACTGCAAAAAGATTTGTCTACGAAACTCTGGAGCCAGGGGGCTGAATATAACACCAGTCCGCTAAGTGAGAAAATCATATTAATCATATATATATATATATATATATATATATATATATATATATATATTAATATACAATAAATCCAAAATCACCTCAGATGGAGAATAGCCTATTTCGACAGACGAAAATATCGGTTGTCTGTCTTATCAACTCCGGTGTAGACTGTTTTTGTCGATCAGTTTTAATATGTTATATTACTAGCATTATATACCAACGGATTTATTACCTTCATATATATACATAAAAATGAAACCCAATTATACACAATTTATATGGCCCTTCGAGAAATTCCCTGGAGCTTGTCAATACTAAAACGTTTGATAAAAAAATCGATGAGCAAAATGGCCATATAAATGGGGTACAATTGAGTTTCATTTTTATGCAATTCATTTATATGCTCTATAATAAATATATTGAGCTCTCTTTTGTGGATCAGTTTTAATATTTTATATCATTAGGATTTACTTGGATTACTTACCCACGCATTATTACCAGTATATATATATATATATATATATATATATATATATATATATATCACCTCAAGCAAGGCGATAAAGCTACTAAGATGCAAAAGGTTAATGGAAATGAAAGAATCGAATAAAATAAAACATTATTGAGGAGAGAAGACAATAAAAGAACAGGCTTCAAGAAAATAGAAAATAACGATTGAGGTCACACTTAAATTTT